CCAACTTTAAAGTACCTTACTCGGACATTTGCGCGGTCATCAAATATAAAATCACTGAAAATTTTTTCCAACACATTGTATCACTTTCCGACGTCAAAGGCTCATATTTTTTCTCTCATATTTTTAATAGAGCGGCTAAACCCTGGTACTTCCGTCTAAGGATCTCCAGGGATGCCATTGTTATGGTCAACCGGTTGCGCTCCGATCATTACAATCCCAACCACAGCTTGCGCCGGAAAAATTTGATTGATAGTCCTTCTTGCCCTTGTGGCGACCCGAAACAAGATATCCTTCATTTGATCTATACGAATGTCCATACTCCAGGAACTATGCACTTTTCCTACGGCGTACGATTGACCGAATCATGCTTTATAATGATCGCTTATCTAAATTCTCGCACGCTATCGCTAATCCTACAGAAAAATTTTATAGACTCATTCTGAGCTTTAGCAAATCTTGCGGCAGACAGTTTTAGCACTTTGTATTTTCGCGCCTTCTCGCGCTATGCGCAGGCGCTCTTCCCTGCCTTTATTGCCTCCCTTCTCCCATCCTAGCGGCGCTTTGCTCCGCTTACTCCAGGGCACACCGTCGCGAGATTTTAGCTTGGAGTATCTCACTCCGGCTGGCGCACAAGTTCGCTTAGTTATTTTGAGGTTTCTGATTTACCTCCTTAATCGTTATTCCTACATAATACTGTTTACCCCCTTTGACGTGATCTGGCCGTATTGACCTCCTTTTATATACCCGGAGGCGATGAGCCATTAATTAAAGAAGAAGAAGAAGAAGAAGACATGGCGATTATAGGACTGTGACAGATTTCCTGACCTGAATAGTCGTGACTTTAATGCTTAATATCTCGGTTCGCGGGTCAGAGCGACACTTATATTTCTGCCATATTCTTCCGTTTTATATAAACACGCGTCGAATGAGTCTAATTTTATCGAAATCGGAGGTTACTTACAAGACTTACTTTTCTCTAGGGATATGATAATATTTTACGCTCACAAAGATGGTGACCGCTTATTGTGAGCAGCTAATGAGCGCTCGCATCTAATACACAATCCTAGGATGCTCACTGAGCGCTCAGTGAGCGGTTGTAGTACTGAATTCACCCAATGCGCTGAGTGGAGTGCTAAGAATTCAGTACGGTTAGTACAATCTGGGGAATTCAAGTACTCTCGAAGCGCTTTCGAAGCGCGCAATAGTTAACTTGGAACGACTTTCTATGCAGTCTACGCGCTTCATGGGTAACTCGGAACGCACCCTATATCAGCTCTGTGGCAGCCATAGCAATTGTAGGACTGTGACAGATTTGCTAACCTCAATAATCGTCAACTTTAACGCATAATAGTTTGATATAGGAATTTAGGGGAGTGATTTGGTCTGCTCTTTCTGGCTCTTGATTGAGAATATAACGTGGATTAAATTTTTTGTTACATAGGCGATTGCTCCCCGCTCGGAGGGGATGCAGTTTAGTTAATTTTTTGCTTTGTTCATGTCAAAAGTAGATGGTGATAGTAAGATTAAAGAACGAGGTTTGAGTGAAAAAGATTTTGATGATGTTGCGAAAAAGCTTTTGGACTCAGGCAAGATTAAAGTAGTGAAAGAAAAGGATAAAATTAAGGGTAAACCCGTAGGTGTCAGTAGATATACTAGGCCGGTTCTAATCCATGGATACAGAGTTCGCGCCGCCACCAGGCGGCGCTGGTGTCGCGCCGGGCCCTAGAAGCAAGGGAGGAATGGAGGGGGTAAATACGTCACAGGGGAGGGGTCTGCGGGAAGGGGGACTTTGTTCCTTCTCTCCTCCCACCTATTGTCTCTCGTACCCATTGCGCTCTCTTTCTAACCCGTTGCACATCTCTCTCTCCCGCCTATTGTCTCTAGTACCTATTGCGCTCTCTTTCTAACCCGTAGTTCTCTCTCTCTCCCACCCATTGCAGTC